AAGATTGACAGCCTTGGAGACCCTGTGGTGCAGTTCCACTCTGCCCTCTAGGGGCGCTGTGGGTCAGAATGGACTCCATGACAGTGGGTTTGGTTTTCTTTACATACTCAAATACATCCGTTCAGATTTATTTCAAGGGTTTGGCTCATGCAATTGTGGGGCTGGCAGGCCCCAACTCTGCAGGGCAGGCTGCAGGCCAGAGACCTGCGCAGGATTGTGTCTGCAGATCCATAGCTGAGGTGATGAGAAATGTGCATGGTCTTGAGAGGCGTCCTTCATATTCTGGAACCAGGCCACACCCTCCAGGAAGCAGCCCTTTGAACTGATTGGCTGATTCCCTCTGAGCACATCATGGAAAGTGATTACATCACCTTACACACATTATATTCTACTGGTGGCCTAGTGCCTAAGGCACTTGACTGCTAAGCAGAAGGCTGGCGGTTCAAACCCACCAGCCACTCCTCGGAAGGAAGACTGGGCAGTCTACTCCAGTAGAGATACCGCCTCGGAAACCCAAGGAGGGGTCGCTAGGCATCCAATCCACTTGGCAGCAGTGAGTTTAAACCAAAACAAACCCGCTGCCATAGGGTTGGTTCTGACCCCAAAGGACAGAGTGGAACTGCCTGCATAGGGTTCCCAAGGCTGTCACTCTCTACGGAAGCCAACTGCCTCATCTTTCTCCTTTGGAGCTGATGTTGGGTTCCCACTGGTGACTTTTGGTTGGCAGCCAAGTGCTTTAACCACTGCGCCACCAGAGCTGCTAACATTACACTACACCACATATATTATTAATACGTCAAACCACGTTACCCAAAAACCCAACCCCCCCGCGATGGCGTCATTGCGGACTCAGCGCCCCTCTTTGAGTTTCCACGGAGGTCAGTCTTCACTGAAGCAGAAGGCCGTGTCTTCCGTCCCGTCCCCCACATTACCTACATTAGGGGATAGCAGCAGGCCTGTGCGCCACTGAGAGTCCTAGCCACCCGGGTGGCAGCACGTTTACCATCACCGGCCCGTGTGAGAGGACGGGGTCCCGTGGACCAGAGTGGGGAGGACACTCGGCCGCCCGGAGCGTGGCTCTCCAGGTCGGGCGTCCACTCTCCCCCTGCGCCCTCGCCCTAGGGAGGACCCCCCGGGTTTCGAGGGCAGAGACGACTACCCCATGAGCAAGGAGGAGCTGCTGAGTCAGGTGGTGAAGTCGGTGAGCGGGCAGCCCTCCGGGTGTGGGGGGACCCCAGGCCCCTGGAGCCCCCGCCCTGACCCGCGCCTCGCCCCCAGCTGGAGGCCCGCGAGCAGGCCCGCGAGCAGCACCAGAAGGAGCTGGCCGAGGCGGTGCGCAAGGCGGACAGCAGCCCGGGCTTCGCCAGCGCGCGCGGCGCCGCCTCGGGCACGGCCCTGGTGAGCGCGCGCAGCGCCAGCCGAGTGGTCCCCGGCTCCATCCTCAGCCGCCGGACCAACGGCGTCCTGACGTCCAGCGGGGGCCGCGTGTCCGGCTCCAACGTCGGCCACGTCACCTTCGGCCTCTCCAGCCCCAGCGGAGGCCAGAGGGCCAGCCCCGCCTCCCACGGGGACGCCGGCCCCCGCAGCTCCAGCCCCGGCAGTTCCCCGGCCTCCACCGGGTACCTGGAGTCC